TAGCAATATTACTAATAACAAATAAATAATAGCAATTTGGCATTTAATAATAATAATAATAATGATAGTAATAATAATAATAAGGAAATTAATAATAACAATAATTAATATTTATTCCCAATTAATCCACGATAAAATGGGGTATTACATTATCCCATGACATCCAGTGCATTCCTTTCTCAAACCCTTCACCTTTACTCCACCAGAATCTTGAAACAACTCTACACACCTCCAGAAAAATATCCTTAGGAAGCACAAAGCATGACATAACAAATATAGGGAGGGCATTTAAGACAGATTTAACAAGCACTTCCCTCCCAGCAGTAGAAAGAAAATTATTTTTCCAGCTCTCAATCCTCACTTTAATAGCATCTACCACAAATTGAAAAGCATCAGATTTAGAGGCCCCAATCCCCAAGGGCAACCCTAAGTATCTCGAGGATCTTTTAACCACAATCCCATTGAGGACAGAACATATAATTTGCTTTTGGACATCACTGCAGTTTCTACTCATAAAAAGAGAGGATTTGCTAAGATTGACCTTTTGCCCTGAAAATTGCTGGTATTTCTGCAAAATGTCCAATAACATGGTGGCATGATCTGCATCAGCTCTACAAAATATTAGTGCATCATCAGCAAAGAGAAGATGAGACAGCATAGGTCCCTCTTTTGCCACTTTAATGCCATGAAACAGCCCAGAATCCACTTTAAACTTCAGATAAGAAGAAAAAACCTCTGACACCAATATAAAGAGATAAGGTGATATGGGATCACCCTGCCTTAACCCACGAGAAGGGTTGACAAACCCACCAACAGCTCCATTCAGATTAAAAGAAAAGGTAGAAGAGGAAATGCAGTTGTAGATCCACTTAATGAACACGGGATGGAACCCCATTCTAGCCATAGTGCGCTTAACACAATCCCACTCCACTCGGTCATATGCCTTCTCCATATCAAGCTTTACTGCCATGAAATGGTTAGGGCCAGATCTATGTCTATGCAGAAAGTGGAAAACTTCATGTGCAATCACTACATTGTCTAATAATTGCCTCCCTGGGACAAAGGCAGTTTGAGCATGACTCACACAGACATGTAGACAAGATTTGAGTCTTTCAGCCAGAATTTTAGCCACCATTTTATAAAGAACCCCACATAGACTAATAGGCCTATAATTGCTCAGAAATTCAGGATAGAGACATTTGGGAATCAAAGTAATTACTGTATGATTCCAATTCTTTAGCATGGTACCTGTAGAGAAGAAGCTCTGGATAGCACCACACACATCCCCCTTGATAAGGTGCCAGAAATGTTGGAAGAATGCTGCAGACATCCCATCCTCACCAGGGGATTTGTCAGGATGCATTAGAAAAAGTGCATTTTTAATCTCTTCCTCTTCTACATGGCTGATTAGATCACTGTTCATGTCAGAGGATATACTAGGAGCAATGTGTTGAAGAACTTCCTCCCCTCCAACTGTCCCATCAGATGTAAATAAGGAAGAATAGAAATCAGAAATATGTCTCTGGATGTCATCCTGGTTGTCACACACCCTACCAGTAGAGGTTAATATTTTGTGAATAGAGTTCCTCTTCCTTCTCTGTGTTGTATGGGCATGAAAGAATCGGGTGTTTCTATCCCCTAGTTTAAGCCATAATATTCTGGACTTTAATCTCCAGAACAGTTCTTCTTATTTATGAGCATTATCAAGGTCTGCTCTGGTTTGACCCCATTCTCCACAGTCAACATTTTCCTCTTGTAGCCTCAGGACCTCCAACTTCTCTGTGAAAACCTGAATAACTTTGGCATTGTCTCTCTTCAAAGGTTTAGCCCAAGCCAGCAATGACATTCTAGTGTTCTTCACTTTCTCATGCACCATAAACATCTGGGACCCTTGAACAGAAATATCCCAACCAGAAGCCACAGCCTCATTCACCCCTTCCATTTTCAGCCACCTGGGGTCAAAAGTGAACCTCTTCCTCTTCTTCTGGAACTCCACCTCGGTATCAAACAACACCACATTATGTTCAGAGGCACTTCTGTAGAAATTAGAAGCCTCCATCTTAGAAAATCTTAAGCTCCATTCTGTAGACACAAAAATCTTGTCTAATCTTTCTTCCACATAGCCTTCTTACTGCCTATTGTTCCCCCAGGTATAGAAAGCCCCCTTATGTTCTATTTCATGCATATCCATATTGAGAATGAAGCTTCTGAAACCCGCAAAGCTAGAATCATATCTCTTCAGCCCTCCTCTTTTCTCTTCATTACATGTGATATCATTCCAATCCCCAAAGATAGCCCAACAATTACCCCACAGGCTTTTTTGCATCTCAAGGAACTCCCATTGTTGTCTTCTGATATTTCTATCACAGTTAATGTACACAAAGATTAGCCAGAACCAAGCTCCCCCTTTCTCTTCTCTGACTTCAGCTTGAATACTAAATTCATTACCCCACAAAAACCTGATTTCTACAGAGTGATCCCACATCACAAGCATTCCCCCTCTAGTGCCATTAGGAACCTCAAAGTGCCATCTATTCTCAAACCCAAGCTTCCTGCATACAGTTCTAGTAAATACATATGATTTTTTGATTTCAGATAAGAAAAATATATTAGGGTGGTGGAGTCTTCTGACATCCTTGATTTGGGAAACTGTAGAGGGCCCACCCAGCCCTCTACAATTCCACACCATAGCCTTCATTTGTCACCTCGGGGCCATTTAAAGATGGCCTTCTCCACCTCCACTGTATCAATCATCACTTTCCTTCTTTTCTCCTCTATCACAGTAGTACTATGCTCTCCTTCATCCCCTGAGAACACTATTAACTCTCTATTTCTTTTGTTGAAGGGAGGAAGACTCTCCTCAGGAACTTGCTCTTCCATTCTCTGGAGTCTTCTGTCCATAGATGCCCTTCTCTTCCATGTAGCAACATGAGGATTTCTGGGCGGATCCCCAATAGCCTGTTGTCCACCATCCTTCTGCCATTCCACCAAAACATCACACTTCTTATCCCCAGTTATTGTGTTTTCCACTACCATCATGGCTGTCTCTGGGATGTCAGGTTCTACAATGCTTCCCATAATACTGAGATTCTGCTGCACATTCTGTTCATTATCCTCAACCAAATCTTCTCTAGCATCAAGATCCACCTTTCTTTTGCCATTGTCACTACTTGACCCCAAGATTACTACTTGATGGACTGAGGCTGGTGTGACACTGTTAGAGACAACCGGTTCCACATTCGAATTATGGATGGGTGGGGATTGATGATCACCAGAGCTACTCGCATAGCTGTGCCTCCCACCAGGAAATGTCTCTGAGGTTTTTAGCCACTCCCCGAACTGGCCATCAGTGACTTGATCCTTGTCGATGTCTACCATCTTCTTTTTACAGTTTCTCTCAAGATGCCCCAAATAGCCACCGTAATAGCACAGATTAATTAGCCTTTCATATCGAAAGGCAACCCTGACACGCTGATCACCTAATTTTATCGTAGTACATCTGGGAATAGGTTCCTTAGTATTAATCACCGCCAGAATTTTAATGAAACTACCCAAGGCTCCTCCCAACTTACATACATTGACATTCTTCACCCCTTTAAAAATTCTTCCTATTTTGACACCTACATCAGTGCACATCCAGTTCAACGGAACATTTAATACTTGAACCCAGAGTTTGACTTCATCGAAAGCACCATGATTACTAACCAGACCAGGGAACCATTCCTTGAGAACCAAATACTGGTTTTCATAAATCCAGTTATGTCCAGCAGCAACTTTATCTTTATCTTCAGTTGAGCTAAAGATAAACTGGAAAAAATTCATACTGAGCTCTTTTACCTCCATCGGCTGCTTAAGCTTCCATATGTAAGACATAGCTCTCTTAATGCCCAAAAGACTGGCCAGTCTATCTCCCACGATTTTACCAAACAAGCTCCTCTTACATTCTTCCTCACTAACTTTGACATCTGTCTTTTGGATTTCGATTTCGCCGGCCCCTTTTTCAGATAGAGAGAAATCAAACATTTTCCGCACAACCTCCGCATCTAGGTCACATTCTGTGGGCGTACCCGACGATTCCCCCTCCATCCCTCAGCACAAATCGATCGGAGAAGAAGATGGATAAAACAAGAACAACTTCAACACCAGTATCTCTCAATCCAATAGATAAACACCCAGGTACCCCAGAATCACGAGCGAGATACGAAAAACAAAAAAATCGGCTGCTCTCAAGAGAGAGAATTTTGGCTCTCAAGAGAGAGGAAGTATTATATGTTTAAAAATGGTAGAAGTCAATATATTCCTCATATATAACTAATATAACTTATTAATTTAAAATATTTATTTACTTAGTAAGAAAACATATAATACAACAATAGAAATTGTTTCATAATTTTTAAATTATTACATAAAATATTGTTGATCATTTATTCAATTTATCTCATAATATTAAGTTAATTAAATAATACATTAATCACATCATTCTTTGTGGTTAATAAGCTTACTTTTGTTTATATAATTTTTTTAGATTATTAAATTTTAGAAGATTTTGAATATTATAATGTAAATTCACCCTCCAATAATAATAATACACATATAGTATAAATACTTTTCTATACTAATATGTTTTGGATTTATCTTAGTAAATCTGACTTCGATGATGATGTCAGCTAGGTCAGCTTGGATAAGTCGTAATT